AATAATAAAAAGTGTAATTACACACTGAATATAATCCTGTAGTACCTGAAAAGAAACAAAACCCACAAAACTGTTGAAGAGCCATACCCTTGATACTGATAGCACAGGGATATTTTTACAGCTAAAGCTTCAATGTAAGTGAACAAGAAATCAAATTATTAAAGATTATAAGCAAACAATCTACTGTGTATGAAAGGTAGCAAACTCAATAAATGTTAGACCTTTAGAATCTCCCGAAACAGGTAAAAAAACATAGTTTAAAATTTTTAATGACATAAAAGATGACCCCCAAGAGAAGATAATCAAGAGAAGACAATCATAAAAAAAATAGATCAGTTATGTTTATAAAAGAACCAAGTTAAACTTCCGAAAGTGAAATATATGGTCATTTAAAGTAAAAATTCTGTAGTTGGGTTAAATGTCTGATTTGATAAGTTTTAGAGAGATTAATGAAGTAGAAAACTAAGCTAATGCAGAATAGAAATAAACAAAGATGAAATATATAGGAGAATTTAAGTGATGTTAAAATAAGGGAGACCAGAAGAAAATTACATATAGAAGATACTGAAAGAGATAATTTATGAAAGATGTAAACCCATAGATTGTAGAAGCACAATTTATTAAAAAAATATGTAAAATTAAATTATTTGAATTTCTTCACCCGAATATGTAACACTGAGCTTCAGAATACAGAGGCATGAAGACAAGTTCTTAAAAACAACTGGGGAGAAAGACAGAATACTTTAATATGAGTGATGGCTCTAAGGTTCATGTATTTGAAGAAAGTAGAAATACTAAAGTTACACTTTGTTTTTGTCAACTATCAATCTGGAGATAATATAAGGATAATAAGTAGTAGATTATAAAAAGAATGGAAACTTCCCAACTGGCAGAACAGAAAAGAAGAAATAAAGAAAACCCAAATAGAAGAAAATATAGAAGAATAAGCAAAACAAAAGTAGATCAATTCAGAAAATAAAAATAAATTTTTTTAATTTCAATAAATGTACACAGACTAAATTTCCCAATTAGTATAGAAAGAAATCAGACTAGATCAAAATATCCAACTATAGTTTGATGAATAAAATCAGTGACTCAAGCTATAATGCCTGTGTTCATGTTCCAGTGCTATGTGAATACATAGCTTTAGGAATTTATGTAAATTACATAATCTTTGTTTATCTCACTTCCTCACAAAAAAATGAAGTTGATAATACAACCTGCTTCCTGAGGTCTTTATGGTTTTTAAATGAATTAACACAATTTGACATATAGACAAATATTTGGTGCATAGTGAATGCCTTTTAATTATTGGCTGTTACTATTTGTTTAAAAGTGAGTACTATTACACTATTCCTTATTTTCATTTTAATTATAATTTCATTATAATATTTTTCTGAGGCCCTCCCTTGTGGCGCAGCGGGTTAAAGCACAGCACTGAGAAGCTTAAGCCACTTCCACATGAGTTCAATTCCCGCCTGCCCCGGAGGTGACCACATGGCGCAGCAGACCTCTTCTGACCCGCCCGCTGCTCCCCTCAGCAGTGTACTTCGTCCATCTGCCTGTTCTGCTCCCCACTTTGTCTCTGGTGAATCCTCTCACCCTCCGCATCTCTGGCCTGTACCCCGATTCTATATGAATAAATAAATAAATCTTTAAAAAAAATTTTGCTGAAAACCTCTTATTGATCACTTTATCAAGTTTCTCTGCTGCAAATCTGCCACATATGTGACTATTCAAAGGATTTATTACGTATAATGTAAAATCTACATTCTTTTGGCATAAATTATTGCAACTATTATTTATATATATAATTGATTAAGATAGGAAATATATTACTATTTTATAATTAGTAAACATGAAAAATTTAGAAACACATTACTTAATGAACTAGAGCTAGGTTTCCTTTCTTGTTATTTTAATGGATGTGTAATAATATATCATTGATATACTGCGATATACTAACTTATAATTAGTATATGTATATTATAGTATAGTATATTCATATAGTATATAAGTAATTTAAAATTAGTTTATCATTAATTTGTACTTCCTTGACTTTGAATGTTGTTTAGCATCTTTTCTGTACTTACTCTTCACTCATACGTCTTTTTAAAATGAAGTGCCTGTTCAAATCTTCTGCTCCTTTTTTGATTGGTGTGTTAATATTAATTTTTAGAGTTCTTTGCATATTCTGGCTACAAATCTGTATTTTTGTGGCAAATACCTTATCCCAACCTGTGACTTATTTGTCATTTCTTAATGGTATTGTCAAAAGACTAATCCTTCAGGTACCAACCAAAATTTTTTAAAGCTTATGCAATTCAGCATAAGAGAGTCAGCCTTAGGGCAGGGTTTATAGATGCTGCTCCTTGAAAAACAGATGAAGGCTTTATTTAAGCTGCTTTAACCCAGTATAATTAAAGGGCAGAGTCCTTTGCTTTTCTTTCCATGAGGGCATTCCAACTCTGGAAATGGTAATCTCCTACCTGTGACCTATTTATAGTGGGTTCTGTATTATTAGTCTAGAGTGTTGTCAGCTTAAAGGGCTTATTAGTAGTGAAAACTTTATCTCATCTAAAGTATGTATTGGGGAGTGGGCTCCTACATAAAGACAGGGACAGTCACTAATCCAGTGTGGTGACTGACCTTGCCTCACATCTTCAGTAGAGAAAATGTTACTTTCTATTTTTTAGTGATTTGGTTGGCTTTAACCTGAATTAATATTTAGAACCATGGAATTTCCTGAGACTCACTGGACCCTATCTTCTGCTTAATACACCTTTACATAAAATACTGATATGTTTGTGTTTAAAATATACTTTTCTTGTATCTGTCATTAACAGATTCTTGTTAGCTTTCTTGCATTTCATATAAGTAGTAAAGAGCTAGATGGTATGGAGGTATTGTCATCTTATTTTCAAATAGCTGTTTTTCAAAAGGGCATAAATTGGCACCTTGTAGAAATATTGCGGTAATATGAGGAAAACATTGTTTATGCATGCACAGAGAGGATACTCCTTGTAGGAGTGGTGAAGGTCAACAGAACAGTTACAAAAGACCCAAAGAGCACTCATTATTTGAGGCTTTAAACTTAGTGAAAGCAAAAAGAGTATCTGTTTGATGTATTGTCTGTTCTATTTTGCAAAACATTGCATGGTAATTTTTGTTTGAATAACTGATTGAATGACTGAATAAATGAGTAGACTATACCTGTGGTGTATTTCAAATAGGAACACAGTGGAGTAAAGATATTTATTTCATAGACTTGTCCTGGTGTTTTAAAGCATGAACTCAAGCAAGTACTAGAAACTTTGAATGTCAACTTGTGTATCATTGGGTTATGATAAGTTTGATAATGTAGCAGGTGTCAGATCATTTTGAAAGTACAAATTTCTAGATATATGCTACATTATTATTAATAATATATACCACAACATTTTAATACATTTATCAAAACCCATTTATGGTGTCAAGGAATTAAAAACAAAACAAAAATCTTTCTCTCTGAATGTTGAAATATGTGTTAGTGTTTAGGTTTTTGATCATGAGCTTTTTTTAGAGGGCCTTTTTCACTTTTTGTTGTTTTAAGTGTGAATATATTGTAAAACTTTTGCCTGCCTCTCATCCCCATCCTCAGGCTGCCAGGTATGAGAATAAGGTCATCTGCTAGACTTAAATTCAGAACAGATCCATCTTATACCTTATTCTGGAATCTGCTGCTTAGAGGTAAACCAGCCTTTGAACCCACACTAATGATCTGGGCACTATATATGATTTTAGCAATGAGTCTCCAGCTATTACATCCTCAGTATATTATTTAGAACCAGGGAAGTCATTAAATTTCAGTATTTACCTTCTTCTCCCTTTAGAAAGCATCATCATCTCTTTACATTCTAAGTGACTTATTGTTCCTACGTATATAAAGTAAAGGAGACACAGTAGAGCTCATTTTAAAGTAGGCTGCTGCTGTGTTCTTCAGCTGTTAAAGAAAAAAAAAATACTGACTTCTCAGTCAATTGTTTTGTTGTTGTCTATACCCTCCTTTACTCTCTTTAATTGCTGACTATCTGCTATGGGAATTCACCAGTTTTTTTGCTTTTATTTTGTATCTCATCCTACTGTTAATATTTTGGGCAACTCATTACTTATTAGAGAATCAGTTACAGAGAGGAAAGTAAAAAATGAGGTTATCCTTAAGTTTATAGGGTTTTGATGTAACTTTTCTGTTATTGGTGAAAATGGGAATTAATTTTATGGTCATTTGTGAATTTATCATTATTTTTCTTTTATTAATTAATTAGTGAATTAAATTTTGTTCTTACATCATTGTAGTCCACATAGATCTCCTGCCAACTTATTACCCATGAGTCATCACCATGTTTCCTTGTGTTTTTCCCTTTCCCAATTTACTGCCCTCATCCCCTCTTTTGCTGTATGCCTCAGTTCTATGATCAGCTTGCTATGGTCAGCTTTGACTACTTCTTGACCTTTTGTTTGGTTTTACTATATTCCACATATAAGTGAGACCATCTGGTATTTCTTTTTCCTTCTGACTAATTTTGGCTAGCATGATTCTTTATAGTTCCGTAAAATAAATTAGAAGTAGCTTGTATACCATAAAACAAAATGCATAGGCATTATTATCATCCTTGTGCTCTTGAGTAGCAACTGAGGTTTGGCTGTAATCCTTATTTGGTTTATTGGGCTTTTACCACATGCTACAGATAGTATCCCAATTTGTCAAAAACACGTGTAGAACAAATATACTGGATTATAAGGACATGGAAAAGCTGTTCACATCAAAGCTTGGAATACCTAAAAGCCTTCTTTTATCCTGGTCTGTAGTCAGAATTTGAAGCCTTACAGATTGTGAATGCTGGACAACAACTATGAATAATTACAAATGCCACTGTCAGAGTTGATACTAGCTAAACACATGTATCACTGAACTGTATGAACTTCTGTTAAAACTCAGGTTTCTTAATTTTTATTATCAGGCAACCTTGGACGGGTGGACCAAGTCTCTGAGTTTGAGTATGATCTGTTCATTCGGCCTGATACCTGTAATCCACGGTTTCGAGTCTGGTTCAACTTTACTGTTGAAAACGTGAAAGAATCACAGGTGAGAAAAACAATGGATAATTCAATATTTTTTTTAGGAAGAATATAAAAATAATGACCATATGAAGAATTTATTTTGTATATCTGTAACTGATTTTTTTTTTCCTAAGAAACACAGAGAGGTAGGTATAATAGGACTTATGTTAGCTGATGGTTATTTAATAATACAAATAGGTAATAGGTAATATGAGAATAAAAATTCTTTACTAAATGGAGCTTTACCATGATGTTTTAGAAATCCTTGCATACACTGTAAGGAACAACATTAGTAACTATTGTATTTATTATAGGCTGCTGTTTTCTATATTATTTCTCCTTTCTAAAGAACTATGGTGGACATTTCTCATCTTAGTGTCACAAAATGTTTTCCTTTTACTACATAAGAAAATGTTTATATCTTAAAAGCACCATCCTGTAATCTATTCTATTTTCCCTTGCTTTGCTGCTGAGAAATTCAGTCAGGCCTCTCTAATGATTCTGGAAAACTTTTATGTTCTATGTCTGTGTACTAACTTGTATTTCAAAACTGTTAAATAATTTATTCATAATTTTAAAAAGTTTATGTTTGTAATGCTGTTCATAACTATTTCTAATGAGAGTCATGATGAATATAAAAAGAACTAAATACATATGCTTTGAACAAACGTTAATAAAATCTAATCCTAAAAAATCAATTGTTCTTTTATATTGAGATAGCATATCATGTGGAAGACTGTACAAACTTTGTACACATAGTGATGCGATTCTTTTAAGCAGATGAAAGTATAGTCCTATAATCTAACACCTGCCTTTTTTCTTCAGGGTCATCTTTACTATAATATTTGGGAGAAAGTGAGGAGTTTAATTTTCCCTCCAAGTTAGTCTATCCTGTTTGCTCTTTTACCTGGTTGTTTGCTTCTCTCCATATCTCTAACTGCAAGTGAAGTGGTATGTGAGGCAGTGGTTAGTGTCTGAAATTTAGACTCAAAGGGTCTTCTTGGCAGGCTGACTTCAGCAGAGGGATCCAGCAACAGCCACTTTGTTACTACAGATTCTATATATCACTGACACAGTGGGTCTATGTGATATTTACTGAAGTTTAAGGGAAAACTTGAAAGAATTATATGTATGAGAGCTCTGAGCATTGTTAGTGAATATGATATATTTCAGAATTTTAAGAAATGTTGGAAAACAGTTAAATCTACAAAGAGAGCTGCTTAGGGCAAACTTTACTTCCCTACCTTTGCTTTTTGGTTATACTTAATCTCTTATGAGGGAATTCCTTTTTCCTTTTACATATGGGTGTGCTTTGGTGGTAGATATGTTGTGGTAACATACATCTGAAGAGGTATAAATATCTACCTCTTGTGTTGTCAATGGAAAAAAAGGGGGGGGGGATATCAATATCCCTTCCTTCTGCCCTCCTTAGAAAATCCTATTCTTTACCTATAGGGAATTCACCTGACCCTAGAATTATCCCTCTTATTCCACTAAGATAGTCAATAATCCTCACATTGCATTTTCCAAAGTCATGTCACTGAGTCTTGAGAGTATAATTCACTACTGGAAGCTTTAACCTCAGGTAGTAGGCCAAATTTTTGTGCTAGAAATTGGGTCCCCATGAGGAACTGTCTGCTACTGTGAGGTAAACACACAGCCTCATTTTTCTGTTCTTGTCATCTACATAACTTATAGTTGTCACTTATACAAACTATTGAAAGACAGACCATAATTCTGAAGTGGTATAGTCAGTTTATATGAAGGAAGGAAAACATTTTCTTAAAAGCAATGTAATCTGCCAGGACTTCGACATTCTCAAAAGGAATTCCAATAAGAGAGTTGACACTGTTTTATGTATGCTTATTTTTAAAGTTGGAAGGATCAATATTTGGTCTATCTTTTTGGGTTCTATCTTCATATCCAGCATTATCCTTTTTCTAGTCACAGTTAGAAATCATGAACATGTTTATCTAGTTTCCTGGAGCCTGATGCTAATTTATCAGCCTGTTTCTATGAACCATTTCTTCATCAACTGTAGTAATATTATATAGTTATGGAAATCTGTCTCTCAACAAGGCATAAAGATCTGCTGGAAAGATATAATATGTATCTGTAGCTTACAGGATATTTGTTTTCATGGTTGTCTACATGAAAAAGAATGGTTTCACTATTAAGTTTGACTTGTGAGGTCTGTTTTTGTTATGTCTCTTCCTATAATCTTTCCCCATCTCTCCAATTTCCGTTAAAATGAGACCAGTGTGAATGTAATCTAGTCAGGAACCTTATTTGTGGTTTGGTACTAGCAGGCAAAAGAAATATTTGTCATCAAAGGCTGACTCCATTAAATGAATGTTAAAATGGCAGCATCAAATATACTACTGTATAAACATCTTGCTTTTGGGTTACTTGATGTTTTTAGGAAGTGAATAAAGATTGGAGCATATTGGTACTAAATTCCAGGACTGGCATATTAACCCCTAAAAGTAGTTATGAAATAGTGCATTTGCAAGAGTCTATGAAAACTAAACTTCCCAGCACCTTTATTGAAAAGTAATTTTCTCTCTGAAAAACTGGCATTAAATTTTCTTAGGTAGAAATTTATTATTGATACAGCATAGCCCTGCATGATGTGAAAGCTAATTTTTCTATTTAAATGCTCAGATAAAACTTCATCCAATAAGAGGAAATAAAATGGTATGCTTGGCTTATTTAAATTCTGTTTTCTTCCTCTATAATCTTTTTATCTCTAGATTTATTTTTCCGTTTTTTTCTGATTGTGAAAGGTGCAAATGCTCAATGTAGTGAATATGGAAAATATAATTATTAGGAGTAGAGAAAATGCACACAGATATACATGCCCAAAATTAAGCCAGAAAATTACAATTGATACTAAAAACAAGTTAGTATTATTTTAGACACAAATACTAATAACTTTTGTTTACTTATTGATATTTATTGTTTATTTTACTTCTTGCAGCATAATTAAGTTTGTATGATACATAAATTTTTATGTCTTTATTTTATTTATTTATTTTTAAAAGATTTTATTTATTTATGTGTACAAGAGCTGGGTTACAGGCCAGAGGTATTGGGGGCGGGGGTTTGAAAGGATTCACCCTTTCAAAAGGGTGGGGAAAGTGGAGTGGGGAGCAGAACAGGCAGATTGACTGACATATACTGCTGAGGGGAGCAGCAGGCAGGATAGGAACAACCTGTCATGCTTATGTCTTGATTTTAAAGAAGGAACAATATCATGAGCAATTGTGTATCATTAAAACCTTAACAAACGGCTGTACAATGCCTTTTTTACATTGGACCATTTTCTTACTCATGAATATAAAGACTGCTTTCCACTATATGTGTAAATAATGTTGTTGTGAACATCTTTATGCATGAAATGTTGTTTATATGTTTAAAGATAAATTCCTGTGAGAGGATTGATGGACAAAGACTGTGAATATTATAAAAACTCTTGATACGTGTTTATAAATTGCTGTCCAAAAATTTATACTATTTCGCTATCCTCTCAACAGTAAATGAGATGATTTTTCTTTAATTTCTTGTTTTTAATTGTTTTAGAAATTCAGATACTTATATATTTAGAATAAATTATTTCTTTTCTCTGTGCAAGTTTACAAAATTTAACTATGCAATGTTTCATACCATTAGTGATAAAGGAATTAATTGTTTTACAGCTGTAACATGAGACAGCAGAACAGAACCATTTATTATTTTGAATCTTTTTCTCAGTTCATCAATATTCTTTTGTCTGAGTATGCCAACAGATTCTCCTCTGAGAATCTTGGAAAGTCTAAAAAAAATTTTTTGACATCAAAGTATTTGTTAATGCTGCTTAAACATATACAGGCATACATATACATGCTTTTACATATGACATGCTTTAAGGGATTTTAAAATTATAAGAGAGTTTGCTACTTTTATGGTTTCTACCTTGGAGATTTAGGGAATAGACTGAAAACTCCAGTGAAACTTCATTCTAGCTATGGCCAAAGCAACAGTCCACAGAGGCAGCATATCACCCTTGAAAGCTCAAAGACAATAGATTCAAATAGATTTGATTTTACATTTGACTCTGATGCATAAGAGATTTTCTACTCTTCATCAGTTAATATAATTTTTGTTACCTCAGTTTTCTCATCTCTAAGATGAAGATAATACTGGCTCATGGGTTTTGTGAATATTAAATGAGACAACATATGTAGAGTCTGCCATGGTAGAGGATTATCAATACTTGATGGCTATTGTAAAACACCAGAACAGCAGTAGTAATACTAACCAAAATAAGAACAAAACTATGAGAACAGATTTATTATAAGATTACTACTACTGTTTTTCAATCTATCCTTATTCCTTCTATTCGTCCTTATTCTGCTTGTTATCTCCTCCTCTTTTCTGCTTTTCTAATTTTTTTCGTTTTCAGTATCATCATAGATCAAGCAAAAGTTTTTTAAAGATTTATTTATTTATACATACAGAACTGGGGTACAGGCCAGAGGCTCAGGGACTGTGAGAGTATTCACCAGAGACAGAGTGGGGAGCAGAACAGGCTGACTAAGTACATGGCTAAGGGAGCAGTGGGCAGGTAAGGAGAGGTCTGCCAGCCATGTGGATCACCTCCCAAGGCAGGGATTGAACCGAACTCATGCTGAAGTGGCTTTAGCTTCTTAGTGCTGTGCTTTAACTTGCTGCAACACCAGGGAGGGCCCTGATCAAGCAAACTTTGATGGTTAATAATATGAACTCTGTGTCAGACATACTTGAATTCCAGGTTCAGTTCTGCTGTCAGTATTTCTGTGACCTGGGTAATTTATTGTTTTATTTATCTACTTAAATAATAAATGTATGTTTATTTAATTGGATTGATAGTAATAACTAACAAAGTTGATGTAAAATTATAAGTGATGATGCATATAAAAAGCTTAAACTAGTGCATGGCACATAAGAAATGGTCAATGAATGTTGGCTATTAATATGACTGTACTTTTATACTATTTCTACAAA